CCCACTATGGGGGCCACCTCCTCTTTGCCATCTGACTCCCCATTGAGATGCCTCCTCAATAATTTAGACACCTTGGGTTTGACCCCAGACATAAAACCAAAAAATTTAATCCGCTTTTGCACTCAAATCTGGCCCACTTATCCTTTAGACAACCGAAATCACTGGCCCCTTTTCGGGTCTTTAAATCCCAACCTTTTACGGGACATGTAACTACTGTGAGCGATCGGGACGATGGGGAGAGATTCCATTTTGTCCAAGCCTTTTTCATACCTCCGTCTAAATCTGGCTGACTTCAAACCCTCCCTCTGTACTTTCTCTTCCCCTGCGTAGATTCTATCAGCCTGTAACCAGTTTCTAAATCAGCCAATTCCTCTCCAAACCTCCTCCTTGCCCACATAAACAGACTTCTTGCACTGCTTACCATACCTATCTCCTCCTATCTTCCTGAAAAACTTTCCCTGTCATGGAGCTAAGCAAGCAACTCCTTGCCAATTCTGACCTCAAGGTGGTTCCAGCTCTGGGAGAGCTCATGTTTTATTCGGTGACTGGAGAGTGGAGGTTTCGTTTTGCTGAAAGCCTACCAGTACCAATCAATGGGAGCAACCTGGAGGCACTGGTGATGGCTAATCCCATAGGCGTGTGTCATGCCTCCAGGCTGTGCCTTCCCCTCCCTTACCTAAGATGTCACTCACCTTTTCTGCCTCCTCCATGGTCTCACCATGTGTCCTCTGTCTCTGTCTGCCTTCCTCTCCCTGGGCTTACTGGGACCCTGCCTCCCATGAAAAACTTGTAGCATGATACTTATGACTTAAGCTATTCCAACTAGTTTGCCAGGCCTCTCAGTCTAACGTAACTTTAAATCAGCTGCTTTGCAAAAGTGCTTACAAAAACCTGCAGCTGCCACGCTCACGCTCTAACTCTGCCCCCACAAGGGAAGGAGGGAAAGCAAACAGGCGCACCTGTGCACAGGATGCTGGCTTCTGGAACAGCAAAAACACCTGCCATAGCTAAGAAAATCCATAGAGAGGACGCAGCAAATCCTGGGCCGCCAGCCACACGTGGCGATGGCTGCAGCCTGCCGCCACTTCCCCTAGAATAAACGTGTGCAGAGTAGACAGGAAGGGGGGAAGGGGCGAAAGGCCACAGGATCAGGCCTAGGCAGTCAGGGTCATTTGTCCCAGGTGTGTGTGGAGGGAGTGGCGCCTTGCACAAGTCCTGCTCCTAGCCCCACCTCACACCTCAGGGCATCAGACTAACCTTGTTAGTTCAAGGTTACAGTTCCAGAAATAACTAAATAGACATTACTGTGGTCTCTAAATTTCTCATTTAGAATTTTGTATACCTTTGGCCTCAGCATAAATTTTTCCCTCCAAATATTAACACTGGTTGTCCCATATGGCACAGTTATTGGCCTGAAATGCCCTCTGAATGCCCTTCTCTAACTTTACAAATGATTTCTTTGTTAAAAAGGTAGCCTTTATTAAAGAGGCCACCTGCTGTTAGCTAAAGGACAGGATCCTAATGTTTTGTTCTTTCAAGATGGGACCTGCATCTTCCAGTCTTCTGGCTGGTAGATGTCGGAAGCTTTGTACTGAAGCCTGGCCTCAGTATGCCTTGGGTGACCAAGAGAAGTGGCCTTCACAGGTTCCTTAAATTACAATACCATCCTCCAATTAGACCTTTTCTATAAAAGTAGCCAAGTAAACTGAAGTTCCCTATACAAATTTCTACCTTCAAAGCCAAGAAAAATGTAGTTTAACCTGAACCAGATCCCTCATTCTTCAAGTGAGGAAACTGAGGCCCAGAACAGTTCAGAGACTTGCTCTCCAGAGTGCTAGGTGTCGATGTAAGATAACAACTTTACTTTACAGCAACAAGTTAAAAAAAAAAATCCTCTTACCTTTCTACAACATCTTAAGGATGCTATCAGAAAGCATACCACGGTGGACTCAGAGTCATGGGTGAGAGAGGTTCTCCTCAAAGATAAATTTCCAATAGTCAGCCCCAGATATTTGGAAAAACTCAGACTGTGGCTGAAGGGAAAAGTCATTGAAGCAAGTAATACAGCTAGCCATGTCTGTATTTATGGCTACGTCTGTATGTCCAGGACCTTACTAACAGGAGAGAAAAAGATAAGAGACACCATGGCCTCATTGCTGCTCTCAGAGAGGGCCCCACCTGCCTGGGGCCTGTATCCTGAACTTGCTACCGTGGTGGACAGGAGGGGCACTTCTGCAGAGAATGCTTAAGGGGGGACAGCCCCGGAGACAGCCCCACCCCCAATTGGGACCCTGCCCTCTGCAAGGGTAACCACTGGAGGTCTAAGTGCCCCCCGTCACCAGATGGAAGACAAGGTGCCTCCTCCTATGAATTGATGGGTCCAAGCCTCCTGGCCACACTCCACTTCTTGGCATCAATGTTGAGGAGCCATAATGGCAGAAAAACAAAAGGTCATTTTCCTCCTAAAAAGTGGAAGCTGTCTCTCTGTTTTACCTTTTTCTCCTGGTCCCCGGTCCAATGACAAAAGTTATCGTTCAGGGCAAATCTGGCTAGCCCCTAGGGCGCTAGTTTACCTGGCCTCTGGCCAGCTCTTGGGGAGACCACCTCTTCTGTCACTCTTTCCTCATAGTACCTGAAACTCCAGTGTCTCTGCTGGGACAGGATTTACTATCTCAATTAAAAGCTCAAATTCTCCTCCCCCCAGGCAGCTATCTCTGCCGCCCCCTCCTTCAGGAACAAAGAAGATTCCACAGTGTGGACTGATGAGATAAGTGTAGGGGGGGAGCCAGGACGGCCCTCCCTATTCAAATAAAACTCAAATCCCTCACAGTTTCCACACCCAAAACAATATCCCCTCAAGCCTGAGGGAAGATAAGGCCTTATGCCTATTCCTAAAAACAATAAGGGCTACTAACTAGTTGCTCCAGCCCCTACAATAAATTTAAAATTCTTATAAAAGCTAATTTTAAAATACAAGTTACAAAGTAAACAACTGGAAAGGATATAGATAGGTAATAAATGTATTTTTTGAGAAGTTAAAGGAAAAAGAAATGGTTTTTTTGGATGAGAAGGGATTTTGCAAAGAAGGCATTTGTCCTAAAGATTGTTTCAAATAGGAAGGATAAGGACAATCCATCAAAAGGTTTAGTATGTTGTATGAAGGTCTGAGTAAGTTTGAAAAGTATATAATAAAAGCTTTGGTGTGTGATAAAGTTAAAGTTGAATATAATCTAAGAGTTGCCTAAAAGATTTTTAGGGTCATGTCAAACTAAAATCAAATCCTCTGTCTATGAAATAACAAGGTTATCTTAATATTGTTCTGCTCTGAGTAACATATACAAAAAACCATTACGGAGAAAGATTTTATCAAAGAAATTATTTGTGTTTTCTGCTGATCTTGTCAAGCTTTAAGTACTACTAAATCAAGAGTTCATTTACATATTTGTTTATGTGTCTTAAATGACCACCTTGTAACAGTGTTATCTGAATATGGTACAAACATTTAAAAGGTTAAAAGTGCCAATTTATATAAAATAATGAGCTAAAGCTCTCTTTTATCCAAGAGTGTTACATTTAAATTCTGACAGCCCCTGCCTCCTACAGATCACCTACCTAGGTGTGGCCTTAAAGGGACAGATTCACTCCCTGAGTCATAAATGCATCAACCCAATCTTCCGTTTCCCAACCCCCATACCATAAGACAGCTTACACCTTTCCTGGCAGTTATAGGATTTTGCAGAATTTAGATCCCTAGGTATGTAGTCCCTGAACAGACACCTTTTTATGCTCCTCCTAATATTCCTATTTGGGTCTTAGATAATGTATGGCCACCCATTTCTCTTAGAAAAACTTGCCTCCAACAGACTCTGCTCCTCTGTCTGACTACCTGCCTTCTCAGGGAACTTCTCAGAGTCTGCAAACCAGATCCTGCCCCACCCTATAACAATTTCTGTTAAACCAGGGCATCTTGTTCTCCAAAAGGATATTCTACCCTCTCCATTGGGACTTCGATGGACCACCCCTCATCTGGTCATTCTCATAACACCCACTGCTGTCAGGCTCAATGTGTCCCCCAATGGCGGCACCTTTCAAGAAACAATTAGAAAATGGAGAAGGGAATTGGAGGACTCTTGAAATTGTCTAGGGAAGAACATTTCACAGTGGTTCTCCTGGCCAATGCCCATCCCAATGCCTGTGTTCTTGCTCTCCTATTCTTAAGCTTCCTCCCTTGTATCACACTACATGTCTGCTACTGCTAATCAAAAATTTAACCAGTTGTACCTCCAGGGATACCAACCTCTCCAAAACGCGAGGATAGTTGGCTGATACCCACCATGTGGAGGTCGGAGGATTGGCTCGAGACTCTTTATGACCTAAGGCTACAAGGGACCTTCATCAACTTCAGGGAAGAAGAAATCTTCATTTTTGGAGCCTGGGTGTTCACCATCATGAGGCTCAGCACCCCAACATTGTTTGCCAACTGACCCTCCCTTCCCCTACGCCACCCCTTGCCAGCTCAAAGAAGCCAGAGCAAACACAACGCCCCCCTTCCTTAACAAACAAAAAAGGGAGGAATGTTGGCAATAATGGCTCCAATAGGTTTCGGTTCTTACTGCACCCTTAAGCTTCTGTTTTCCAGGGTCACGGTCCTGCCTCAAGTCTAGCTTGAATCCTCCTCCTGCCCCAACCTCCAATCAGCATGAACCATAAGATCCCAACCAATCAGATCATGCTGAGTCCCACTGAGGGGTATTTAAGCCCCTGCCCTTCTCTCCCTCTCTCTTTTGGCTCTCTCCCTCTCCCACCCGGCAATAAAGAATCTCTTGGCCAGATCACTCCTCTCCACGTGGTCACTTTTAGGGCCTATATTTCCTTACAAAACCTTTCACAAAAATAGGGCTGGTGGAATGGCTCAATGTAAGGCCCAGTTCAAGCCCCAGTAACACAAAAAAAAAAAAAAAAAAAAACCAGGATCTGAGGTTACCCACCCATGAGTTCCTGGGCAATATATATAAAACAGCTGCCTTGGGTGAAAATACTTCCTCTGATAACAATGCCTTGTCCAAGCACTTCTTCTGGCTCCAATTAGAAAATAACATAAAAGGAGGAGTGGAGGTATATAGCTGGCTTTGGGCAAGGCCTTGTCTTCCTGTATAATTTAAGAAAAATGAACTTGTATCTGTGTGCAGAAAGAAAAATCCAATTTGCCCTATTATCCCCCAAATTTATAGATGTCTCAAGAGATCTATAGCTGACAACAGGCTACTAGTTTCTAGAGCATGAGGAAGAGAAACAGTGAATGAGCATCCTCCCTGCTTTCTTGAAGGGCAAGTCTCATTGGGTCCTCATTTGAGGCTCAGGGAGGCCTCCCCATGGGTGGGAATCACTGCCTTGAGGATACTCACAGTTCCTTTTTACACACTCTCCCATTTGTGTCTTTGGTTCAGAAAAGACTCCAATTCCATAAACAATCAGATTATCTTCTCTATTTCAAAGCCACTGACTCCCACCTCCCCCCACCCAAAAAGTGCCTAGTAACTAGAAAGAAGGTAATCTTCCAAGTGTTTGTTTCAAGGCCCTCCACAATCCATCTGCACCTACCTTCATCTCCAAACAATCCTCAAGCACTCTGTGTTTCTACAACTACAAGACCACTACCCAATTCCCAACATACACCCTCAGTATGGTCCTCAAGAGATTCTATCAGCCCTATTCTAACTACAGCAGGAACATACTCCTGCATATACTGTCTCTTGCACAAGGGCACCTGACCAAAGAAACAAAGAGAGAACAAGCTGAAGTTCAGCCTCCATTCTGTTTGCCAAGCATGTGCCCTGACATGAGGCTCTCTGGAGGAAGGAGCACCCTTCTCTAATTTGCACAAAGGTATCATGGAGGCTAACAGAGGTATGACCCCAACAGCTTTACCTTGAATACCTGCCTGGGTTTCCCATGTAGCTGTGGAATGTAATAAAGGAAACTGGAAACCCAGGACTAGGAGGGAATGCCTATTGCCCAGGCTTCACATATAATTAGTTACAGGGAACCTGAGATAATTTTTTGTTCTGCACCCATATTGCAAATCTTTGTTAACTTTTGAATAAGCATAGAATAGAATCTTGCACTCTCTATAAGAGCTCTGGGGAAAGTAGAAAGGCAACTACTCTGAATCCTCCAGGATAAACACTGTTAGAGCATCATCTTCAGTTTCCATTCTTTGCACCATTCTCCCCCAGGCCTTTGGTCAACTGAAGCTTATCAAAAGTAAAACCAGAACTCATTGCTACAAATCAGTTTTGACCTGGTATGATCTTTTCTTACAAATACAAATTACTTTCCTATTTTGTAAATTCAAACCACCAACACAAGAGTTCTTAAATCCAAACATGACATTCCCCAGCTTAAAATTCTTCAAGACAAAGCCTAAAAAGCATGGTGTACAATACCTGCTCCCTGCCTAACTGCCAAATGCTTTTCTTATTACTCCCTAACATTTAGCTGTCCTCTATTCTAGTCACACAAAATTTCTTGCAGCTCATCAAAAGGCCCATATTCTCTTTTCCTTCATGAGTATCCAGAGACATTTATAGGACACGTATGATCTGACCCAGTGTATAATTTCATATCACACAGGCAGCATACCACTCACACACCATCTACAGTAGCTATCCATTTTCTATTCCCCAAAACTAGTGTAATTCCTGTCATCACTGCTTTCCAGATCAAAAATTGTCTCTTCTCACTTTCTATACAGCTAACTCCTAATTGCCCTTCAGATCTCAAATGTCACTTCCTCAAAGAAACTTACACACTCCCTAAACTTTAAATTTTTTCCACAGCACTTAACATAAACGAAATTATTTGTGTATTTCCCCTGACTAGACTTTTAAGTTCCATGAGATCAGAGAAAAGAAGTATTTGTTCATTCCTTTCTATATTCCAGCATAGTATCTGCCAACCAGTAAATACTAACAACAAAGTTGTGCTAACCATAACAGTAGTTACCAGCCTCATGTGGCTATTGAGTCCTTGAAAGATGCTATAGATTTGGTACAAGTATAAAACACATACCAGATTTCTAAGACTTAGTAAAACAAATAAAAAAAGAAACTATCATTAATGTTTTAATATTCATTTAATGTTGAAATGATAATATTTTGGATATTTGAAGTCAAATATGATACATGAAAGCTAGTGTACTTTATTTTCTAAATGTAGCTACTTGAAAATTTAAAACAAATAACTGGTTTGTGTGGCTTGCATGATAGATCCATTGGACAGTACTGGCCTGGAGTACTCTTCCTTCCATTTGCTCACTTTTTGTCCTTGAACACTCAAGTGAACAATAGTTGCTCTGGAAAGTCTTCCCAGAATGGCCAACACAACTGAGTCTCCAGGGTGCCTTCTACCATCATACTAAAGGTGTGTTATATAACTTTATTTCTGATGGGATCTATCAGTATACATTTCCAAAGGAATTTAATGAATCACTCCTCATTTCCCTCAAAAGCCATATATTATAGATTATTATAGCTAAGACCTACTTAAAACTTTTTTAAAATGGAGTAAGATCTCAGGAGTGAACAGTAAAAAAAATTCTTAAAAAGAAAGAAGAGCTGAGGAAAAAAGAGGTAACTCACTTTGGCAGAAAACAAAAAAATTATATAATCAGGATCCTACTTAAATCAGGAAATATATTTCAACAACTTCCCATCAGCCACTAGGCTAAGGGAAATGCATCTTTCATCTACTGAGAAGCTCCAAAGAATCCTGGACAAACTCAAAGTTCTCAGTATGTCAGTTCTTCCTTCAGATAAGCTGTTCTTATCCTACCTAAGTTAGAACACTCTTTGTCCCCTAAAAATTGCTTCAAATTCAGCTACATAATCTACATGAACATAATGCTTTGGCTGATGATGCAGACACAAAAATTAACATTCAAGAATTTCACAGTTGTGGTTGCTGTGGGAACCTTAATTCCAACTGTGGGGCACAGATGCAGAATGGTGGACTACTCCCAATACTGATAAAATTGGAGATGTATATTTACTCTGTGCAATGAGGCACAGCTACACTTACTGAAACAACCTCATTTTGGCATTTCTAGGCTTTTGTGCATTTAAATTCTCAACCTTACCACAACACTGCTTGCAGCATTAAACTGCCTTCTCTACAGAGGGAAAAAAAAAAGAGAGAATAAACTGATTGGCCAGACATTGAAATTATTCATCCTGTATGTGTTTTCTATGCATGATCTGATTCAAAAGACAATCATGATATTTTTATTTTACTCTTATGGGCTGTCTATAAACTATCACACAAATGGAAACAGGGTATGAATCTCAACTTGTAAATTCACCACAACATGTGCATGTGCAAAACAATGGAAAAGCAAATTTCACATGTTTAGAACTACAAAAGGGATAAATTAAAAAGTAGATAGTCTGCAGCACTAACTTCAACCACAATGTTTAATTTCTGAAAACTGTACAAACACTTGCCTTTGGCACTGGCTCTCACTAATGACCTAGTTCTTATAACTACTCAACAGACGCTTAAGTTAGCAGAGGGCAATAACAGAGAAGTGGGAATGATGTCTGTAAAAACAAGACATAACCAAACCCAAGACACAACTCAATCTCAATCCCTATCCCCAACCTCTCATAACTCAGAAAGATGGAAAGGAAATAACCACAAATTTAAAACAGAACAATTGGAGCTTTCATTCAAAGAGTAATTTCTCAAAACTGATACATCCAAGTCATACAAGCACTTATTCAGCCAGAACACTCAACAAACAGTGTAACTAATTATAGTGAGCACTTGCAAAAGATGAGTAGGTGACCATAGAGAGCATATACACAAAGATTCATTTTTTTCCTTGTACAAAAACATAAGGAACTATCAAAATGACCAGTAGAAACAAGCCCTACTTCTATGTGGGTGAGGTACAGACTCTCCTCTCCTCAGTCTCAGAAAGCTAAGACCCTGTTAATAAGTGAACTCACGAGCTTGCATATCTTAACCCTAACTGCTCTCCAGCCCCCTTAGGAAGTGCCAACAGTCCCTAAATAAAATGCAGCAGAACGGTGGGACAAAAGCCTGGGAAATACTGTGGGGGAATTAAAATACTTATCCTTTTGTATTCTTAGGTACCATATTTAACTAATTCTCTAGCTCCTTATCTTTTTTTTTTTTTGCAAAGAGGTCCAGCTGCTTCCCTACTCTCACCTGTGTGTTCTCTCCCTCCAGCCTCGGTGGTCGGATGCTGGACAGGTGGATGGTCTTGTAGTCTCCAGAATTGAGCTTCACAACAATGGCATCAGCATTCAGAACCTGCATCACCTGTAAGCAAGAAGGCAAAAATGCTTAGACTAGCTTCAACAGTTCCTATCACACACCACCATAGTCATAGATAGAAAGTGAGATCAACAGCCATTTGGAGTAGATCTATATCATCCTTCATCAGGCAGCAATGTAAGAGAAAGCTATGAAACAATTATCAGTTCCCGGGGATCTTATTATGATTTCTCAGTGAGACAGAATCAATATCATGCATAAAGATGGCCAATCTTTTTTATCTTTTTGCCTTAACCAAGACATGTGGTTACTATCAAGTGTAAGAACTGAAAATCCAGTCTCTACATGAGATTGAAAATTTCCCTTGAAACAGGGTCTAAACTAAAATTAGTATGAATGTAGTTGGATTAGAAAAATGTACCAGCACTAAATGAGAAAGAACCAAAATAGGATTCCTCAATAGAGAGCAGAAAATTCAAAGGTAAATGAAGCCCAAAAAGAATTGTCATCTCAGCATAGGAAAGGAGATGCTCAACTGTTAATCTCACAGGCAGAAAGACTAAATTACTAAAATATTACTTTGGCTGAACTAACAGCCACCTTTTTAGAACATCACTATGGACATGTCTGTTTTGGAAACCAAAATCATTAATATTGCATCCCACTCTCAGCAGAAAACGATTAACTTCCAGTCTGGGGTACAAGGATACCTATTTGAAGGGCAAAATCACAAATATTCCTCTGTGAAGGTTATTAGAACATTCTACCAATGTGTACAGAATAAAATTCCATTCAAACCAGGACAGTGTCACATCAGGGTTATAACCAGAACCCATAATACAGCAGCAGTCTACAATACACCCAATTATATCCAGTCCCTGTTGTTTCAAGGCTTTTTTTTTTTTTTCTGCAAGCAATACTTTGTTACAAGGTAGCTGCTGACTACAAAACACTGTCACCAACCACTTCATCTGCAGAATGAAAATCAAACTCTTCTATGCTTCAATCAAGGCCCCCATCAGGAACCACAGGTGACTGAACTATAGGGTCAACTCCCACACAGGGAGGGTAGACTGGCAAAATTTCTATCCTCTTTTATGCATGAGACAAAAGCAGCTACACTTTACTTTGCCGTGATGGATGTCACACTGGTAAGTATCTGAAAGAAAACCTCTATTTTCTGCAAGGCCTAAGCTTTTTCAGCACAGAATATACCCATTTACTTGGAGACTTCTCCAAAGACAGCTATTCTCATTTTTCCAAGAACCAACCAACCACATACCGAAAAAGAGTGAAGAATGCTTTAAGTGACAATCTGAAGAAGGATAAAAAACAAAAACAAGTGGGAAAATTATGCATAACAAAAGCTAAGTGCCATTAAGCAGAAAGAAAGGTAACAGTGGAATTAAGCTCTAAGGCCCCAGAAAGTTGAGTAAGGCTAGTGGATGGAAAGAAATCACTGGTTCTGACCATGGAGTAATAGAAGCAGTGCAAGTGCAGATCAGTGATCAAAAAAGTAATGAAGGGACTGAAAAAGGACTAAGTTGATTAGAAAACGGGGAAACTTTTAGTTCTTTACCAAATATAAGATTAACTTGTTATCTCTGAAAGTAGCAAAAAGATAATCTCAAATAATGATAATCATTCCACTATAATCTTTATGATGGATCTGAGAATCAAAAAGGCTAAACACTAAAATCCCCAGAGCCAGAACTCAAAATTCACTTGACCAGAGAAATGTGATGAAGACCCAAGGGTAATGCAAGGATGACATATGGTCACCCCAAGACCATAGTCAGAACTGATTACCTAAGTCTAGGTGGTATCAGAGAGTCCCTCATGCCAATCATAAAAACATGTCCACGAGTCTTTGCTACCATTTCCTGTGTGGGGAACAGGAATGTTCCTTTCTCTTTTTCTCCCCACCCCTTGTCTATACTTTATCCTGTTATACTAAAATAAATCTTTGCTAAGACTTCCAAAAAATATATAAATACAACTGACCAAAACAGAAAAGCCCCAGCTAATGTCTTCTCTATTCTTTGGAAGTCCCACATTTGTGTGAAAGGAAAATGGATGACAGAATATTTGAGGGGTGATTTTTCTACAATATGTGCTACTCTGCTATTCTAACTTCAAACCAAAGAGAAGAAAAAAATTCCTCTAAGGCATACCAAACAAACTAGCTAGTCTAACAAATCAATACAGCTCCTCCTTCAAAAGGATGCCCAAAGGATAATAAGATAATCTTCAGGCATCTCAAATGCACACATTTCACGGTGTTTCCAAAATCTCAGTGTTGGATATATCTACACCCCCTCTCAAACCCAAACTCACTCTTATTAAATTTCCATTGCAAAAATCTCAGGGAAATTTCTATAATCAAGACATGAGATATATCTTGATATTCTCTACATCCTAGTCATACTCAGAAAGAAATAACACCAGGAGAAGTATTACAGTGCTCACACCTTTACCCCCTGATTCCAGAATGTGAAGAATCTAAGCACACCCTGTGACAAGGCAGTCATATTCTCACCCCTTTATAGTGCATTAGCAGCAGCAGCAGCAAATGATTCTTGGAGCTATAAATTTTAGGCCATAGCAGCAGACACTCTGCTAGGCATCTCCCTGATTAGAAACCTCCTCTTTAGGAACTGCACACACTGATGCTGCCAGCAACATGAGGTTTAGCTTTCTGGGGAAGGGGAGAGGGTTTGTGCACATGTGTGTCTATGTGTGTGTATACGAGAGGGTTAATGGTTTTCTAGTCCTCTGTAACTATGCCATTACTGTCCATACATGTCTCCTCAGCAGAGACATGGAATAAGCAATAAAACACTAGTTACAGTCATACACTCTGCAATAAGTAAAATGCAGAGTGGATTATTATCCAAAGCCTGCTACAAACCATGTTTGAACAGTGATGTTTCCTAGGGCACTTTTCATCAGGATAACTGAAGCATGTCCCCATTGCTCACTTTCTTCACAAGCTATGGATCCCTAGTCAAGCCACTCTCAAGCATACACACTATATTTGCCCTCCTGATAGTCAGTTTATACGTACCATCTCAAAGACTTTCATTCAGGCACTCAATAAACACTGACTTCCCTGCTCAGACACTGAGAATATAAGGATACCAAAAAAGAGATAAACTTCATTTTTTTAGTGGCAGGCAAATGATTGTGCCAACACTTTCTTGGATATGACACCAAAGATATAAACAACAACAAAAATAAACAAGTTACATATCTTAAAACTTAAAAAACATTATGCATCAAAAGGATTACCTACTAAGAGAGTAAAAGGCAACCCACAGAATGGAAGAAGATATTTCCAAATCATGTATGTGACAAGGAGTTAATATCCAGAATATACACAGAATTCTTAAAACTCCACAACAAATAAAAACCAAAAAGCCCAATTTATAAGTGAGCATAGCCCTGGGTTCCATATGGAGTACTGCAAAAATAATTTTTAAAAGTCAAAACATACCAGGCGCTGGTGGCTCACATTATAATCCTACTCAGGAGGCAGAGATCAGAAGGACTGAAGTTTGAAGCCAGTCCAAGCAAATAGTTCTCAAGACCCTGTCTCAAAAATAGCCAACATAAGAAAAAAAAAAAAAAAAAAAAAGGGGAGGGGAGGGCCCCGCTGGTGGAGTGGCTCAAAGCGTAGGCTGAGTTTCAAGCCCCAACACTGCCCAAAAAAAAAAGCAAAACATGGGCAAAGGACTTAAACAGACACTTCTCCAAAAAAGATCTACAAATGGTAGGTAATCACAGGAAAGGATGCTTGGCATCGCTAACCATTAGGGTAAATATAAATCAAATCTACAATGAAATACCACTACTTGATACCTATTAGGATAGCAGCTACTATTAAAAAAAAAAAGAAAATAACAAATGTTGGCAAGGGTCTAGAGAAACTGAAATCCTTATCAGTGTTGGCAAGAATGTAAAATGGTCCAATAGAGCAATTCCTCAAAACCATAAGAGTACAAATACTAGCAATTTCACTTCTGGATGCAAATTCAAAGGCCTATTGATAAACCTTTATTCACAGTAGCATCATTCACAATAGTTAAAATGTAGAAACAATCCAAGAATCTACCCATCGACGGATAACTAGACAAGTTTAAAATGTATATACATACACTATAATATTATTCCACCCAAAAAGCAAGAAAATTCTTACATGCCACAACATGGCAGGACATTATGCTAAATGAAATAAGCCAATCACAAAAAAGACAAACACTGTATGATTCTCCACACATGAGCTACTTACAACAGTCAAAATCACTGATACAAAAAGTAGAAAGGTAGTTGCCAGGGGCTGGAGGAAAGGAAGAATTAAGGAAAAGATAGTTATTGTTTAATGGCTATAGTTTTGAAAGATAAAAAGTTCTGATAATGGATGGTAGTGATAATTGCACAATATAAATATAACTAATACCACTGAACTGTACATTTATAAATGGTTAAGATAGTAAATTTTATGTTTCATGAATTTTTCTGAGGAAAACCTCAGAGTTAATAAGCTCCATTTAGAGTTGAGACAGTAAATAACTCATGTAAGTAGAAGAGCAGCAAAAAAAAAAAAAAAAATGATCAAGCAAAAACCAGATTCTGAAATCCACTGTATCCATGGATAGCTTAGAACTTGTTCTCCAAAGTTGGACTTGACTATACCAATGCCTTTTAACTACTTAGGTCTCCCAATGAAGCCCCAAAGGGGCCTGAAGACAGGAACCACTTCAAGCTTTTTTTTTTTTTTACAACTTCTCAAAGCACCAAGTTTAAGGCTATTTAAGCTTTCACATGAGGACAGAGAACCAAGCACAAGGCCTCAGCCAGACACCTCTCGAGGATGTGCTTCCATTCCCCTCCCTTTAGCAGTGCTATTCAGGTCTACAAAATCTGCAATGCCTACAGATCCAGCAGCAGGGACAGGGAAGCCAAGCCATGTGCTCAAGGGGACCATATGGCTACAAACAGCACAGATCAGCTAAAACGCCACAGGGATGGCAGGCAGGGAACTG